TTTCTCAAAGTAGAGTTGACCTTAATGACGTGGATGGAGTAAACCTCTTGGGACTTTCATATGCTGATGTGGCACACCTCAAAATGAGAAGAAATAGGAAGCCAATATGGTGCTATACACAGAAGCACCATGCCGTCCGTCTACAGCAAAGACCTGAAAAACTAAGTAAAACAGATATAAATGTCAATCCCGGAACCCTAAGCATCAAATGAAGGGTTAAAGAACTCTACCTAGCACCGAATGGAATAAGAAACTGACAGAGAACAGAGAACAAGGAGAGCTACAGAGTGGAGGTCCCCTACCAGCTAATGCAGCATGGACTTGGCATCTTGGACCCCTCAGCCAAGAAGAACGGTGGACAAGGAGTTCAGGGAGTACAGGGAGGCAACTTCACAGAGCTCCCAGCAGGAGAGAGAGCACCAGGTAATCAGCGATAAACGCTTTTCCACCCCTACTCTTCTTCCCTCTGAGTGCACCGCTTTCTGGCAGGCCAAGGTCACTTGGCTGGAGAGACACCAGCTCCTGGCAGCTGGGATTCGCCCCTCCCCTACTGGCCGGCTCCTTCAGTGCCATTTTTGTTGTTGTTGTTGTTTTGGCTTCTTTGTGTTTCTTCTCTCTCTCACCTTCTTCCTTTCCCCCCCGTCCAGCTGAATGGGCCATGCAGCACCACTCAGCTGGGGAGCCACTTCCTTGGCCCATGCCACCATACCGGTGGGCTCCCTTGGGACATTTTTTTTTTCTCAGTTTCTTGTTTCTTTCCATCTCCCTTCCTTTCCTTTCTCCTGACCACCCGGCCACGTGTGCCTTTTTTTTTTTTTTTCAGTGTCTTATCTCTCTCTCTCCCTTCCTTCCTTTCTTTTCTCCCACCCACCTAGCCGCGTGTGCCATCTCCACCCTTCTTGATGGACAGTACCACACGGCCCAGCCAGAAAGCCACCAGCACACGGCTTCCCCAGGTCCATGCCACTCCAGTGGCAGGCTCCCTCAGCACCTTTTTTTTTAGAAAAAGAAGAAGAAACAATACATTAGCCATGCTAACTTTCTGGGTGAGGTAAGACTCTGCTGGCGGTGTGATACACACCTGTGCTTGAATCCTGACTTCATCTTTGAGCAGCTATGTGAATGTCATCTTGAGCCAGTCATGTAATCTCTCTGAGCCTCAGTTTCCCCATTGTAAAATGAGGACAATACATTTACCTTGCAAGGCTGTTGATGAGATTAGAAATACTGTATGCAAAGTACCTACCATGGGATTATAATAGGTGTTCAAGAAATGCTAATTATTTACAAAAATGTTTTCCTTATTTTGCATTGAAACCAGGTAACCAGGTCTCAAGAGTCACTTCTGAAGAGTGACTTCATAATCAGGGCTTAGAGCCCTGATGATATTAACTAGTCTTCAGCCACGATTATCTCTTCATCTCACTTCAGTATACTAATTTTCTGGGTCTATCATTCAATTGTGGCTAATTGGGCAAGGATGGTGTTACTTTTCTGTTCTGTACCACTCTGTATATTATCAAGATTTATCAAGAGTTATCAAGCTTTGACTGTAGGAAGGTCCATTTGGTCTCTTAAAAGATACCTTGAATAATATATTTGTTATGTTAAATAATATTATATTACATTACATTATATTATATCATATCATATTATATTAGCCTTGCTATACATTAGCCCTGGTAGCACAGTGGTTAAGTGCTTGGCTGCTACCAGAAAGGTCAGCAGTTTGAAACCACCAGCTGTTCTGCAGGAGAAAGATGTGACAGTCTGCTTCCATAAAGATTACAGTATTGGAAACCCTATGGGGCAGTTCTACTCTGTCCTATAGGATTGCTATGAGTCAGGATAGACTCCATGGCATGTTGGTTTTTTGTTTATACGTTAGCCATGCTTATGCATTATATTACATATATTATAATTAACACACGTGTATACACATATATAGTACTTACTCTATTTATATATAAGATGATAATAAATAATTTGATGAGATATAAACATCATAAAATATGTTGTTGTTGTTGCTAGGTGCTGTCAAGTTGGTTCCAACTCATAGTGATTGTCATGGATTGAATTGTGTCTCCCAAAAACATGTGTATCAATTTGGCTAGGCCATGACTCCCAGTATTGTGTGATTGTCCACCATTTTGTCATGTGATGTGATTTTCCTATGTGTTGTAAATCCTAGCACTATGAGATGGATTAGCGGCAGTTATGTTAATGAGATCTATAAGATTAGATTGTGCCTTAAGCCAATCTCTTTTGAGATATAAAAGAAAGAAGTGAGCAGAGAGACATGGGGACCTCATACCACCAAGAAAGCAGAGCGTGTCCTTTGGAGCTGGGGTCCCTGTGCATGAAAAGCTCCTCAACCAGGGGAAGATTGATGAGAAGGGCCTTCCTCCAGAACCGACAGAGAGAGAAAGCCTTCCCCTGGAGTTGATGCCTTAATTTGGACTTCTTGCCTACTAGACTGTGAGAAAATAAATTTCTCTTTGTTAAAGCCATCCACTTTTGGTATTTCTGTTATAGCAGCACTAGATGACTAAGACAGTGGCCCTATGTACAACAGAACAAAACACTGCCTGGTTCTGTGCCATCCTCACAATCACTGTTACGTTTATAAATAAGATGGAGTCACTGGGGTTAACAGCTCACCTGCTAATTGAAAGGTTGGAGGTTTGAGTCCACCCAGAGAAGCCTCAGAAGAAAGGCCTGGTGATCTGCTTCCAAAAAACCAGCCATTGAAAACCCTGGGAAGTACAGATCTACTCTGACATACACATGGGGTTGCCATGACTTGGAATCAACTCCACGACAACTGATTTACTGGTTATAAATAAAATAATAAAACCATTAGACAGCAAAACCTGTATTACATCTGAAGAAGTTTCTTACATTCACTCAAACTGACAGCTTGTTTTTCTCTTTTATATCTTCCAGTGCCTCACTTTCTATAAGGTATCCATTTAAAATTTTTTTTTTTTTAATCAGTGGAGTTTGGTTTGTAATGAGCCATCTATAACAGTATTATTTTCAAAAATAATTGGCCAGGACTTGGGGATGCATACTAAGGTTGAAAAAGGAATCTAACCCCCCACACACTCTTAGTCAGACTCCAGTTTGATCAAATGTCATATATTTAGTGAAATCTTAACCATCCCTTCCTCCCCAAATTAATCACCCCGAACTCTGTGTTCAGCCCTAGTCATATTTTATCACAGTTAATCGATTTTGAATATTTAACTTGAGATTCACTATAGCATAGTGTTTTTCTTTATTGAGATATAATTCACATACCATAAAACCCACCGTTTAAAAGTGTACAGTTCAGTAATTTTTAGTATACTCACAAAGTTGTTCAACCATCATCACTTATTTCAGAAATTTTCATCATTCCAAAGAGAAAGCCCATGCCCATCAGCAGTAACTCCCCATTCCTCCCTCCCCCTAGTCCTGGCAACCACTAACCACTTTCGGTCTCTGTAGATTTATGTATTCTGGGCATTTCATATAAATGCAATCATACAATATGTGGTCTTTTGCCTCTGGCTTCTTTCACTTAGCATAGTTTTCAAGCTTCATTCATGTTGTAGTACTTATAAGCATCATACCTATTCCTTTTTTATGGCTGAGTAATATTCACTGTTTATCCATTTATTAGTTGATGGACGTTTGAGTTGTTTTCACTCTTTGGCTGTTAGGAATAATGCTGCTATGTACAAGTTTTTGTGTACACGTTTTCAGTTCTCTTGGATCACGTTTAAGAGAGTGATTTTGCTACCAGACAGCCTTGGGTTTAAGGCCAGGGTTTAAATGCTCTGGCATTTACTAGCTGTGTGACCTTGGGCAAGTTACTCAACATCTTTGTGCCCTAGGCTCCTTATGTGTAAACTATGGCTAATCACAGTACCTACCTCTTAGTGTTTTATGAGGCTTAAAAGATAGATTACATGGAAATTATTTAGAACAGTGTCTGGTATATATAGTTAGGTCAGGGTAAAATTTAACTATTATTATTTTAAAAATATTTTGAGCTCCTTAATTATAGTTTATCTTTATTGAGCCTTTGAAACCCCAGAGCCAAAGTTTTGTTTTTTCTTTAATAAAAAAATGAAATAAATATTCACAATCTCTCCTGGGTATCCAAAACCAAAAACCAAACCCACTGCCATCCAGTGGATTCCAACTCATAGCGACCCCATAAGGTTTCCAAGGCTGTAAATCTTTAGGGAAGCAGACCGTCACATCTTTCTCCTGCAGGGCCACTGTGGCTTTGAACCGCTGACCTTTCAGTTACCAGGCCAGCACTTTAATTCTGGGTATCAGAGTGTGCTAATTTCTGACGAGTATTTTGAGATTGAAGGAAAGACGTTTTAAACTGTAAAGTGTGGAGAGGCTTGCCTTCCCCGACTAACTTATTTTCATGCAGCAACTTACCCATCAGCCTCCAACTAATTATTTAGTAAAATTGGCGGGGGTATTCCTGTAGTTAATAAGATATTATTTAACAACACGGATACAACCGACCTGTAACCTAAGTCTCCTGTTCGGTAATGCAAGCAAACAGCTTGTTTCCACAGCTACTCTGTGATTGGTTTAGGTGCCATCCCGGCCGATTTTTGATTGGATGAATTAATAGAAATGGTGTCGGCCTGACCTACTCGTGGCCAATGTCGGCCCACTACTGGCTCTCCTGAAAGCGGACAGACACGTGGCTAGCGCAGGTCTGGCTGTACGTGGGCGGACCTAGTTTTGCTTACCGCGAGAGGGCGCAGACGGTTCCTCGTTGCCACAGTCGCATTTCCCATAAAGCCTCCGACCACCAATCAACGGTCTGTCTCCATACCGCTTTCAAAGTCGGCGGGTCCTTTGCCCAATAGGAAGGCGGAAGAGTCCAGCTCGAAGATTGATGGAAAGTTTCTCCAATCATCTTATAGATCTCCGCTATCTCCGCCTGTCTCGCACGGGATTGACGATTCTTCCGGCCAATAGGGGACGCCGGGTCGGCGGGTGGATGAACGCGGCCCTCTGTAATGGCGGAGCGTGGCGGGGACGGGGGGGACGGTGAACGATTCAACCCGGGGGAGCTCAGGTAAGGGGCGCTGCCTTCCCTCACATTTCGGTTTCCGGAGGCTTAGGGGCTAGGCCTGCCGCTCAGAGATCCGAGGCGGAGGGTGGGCAGCGAAGCCGCAGCGCCTCAGGGCCGGGACCGCATGGGGTTGGAGAAGGGGGAAGGGGAAACCGGCTGAATGAGCGAGCCGGGCCGGGCTGGGCCGCGGCCTCCTCCACGTTCTCGGGGGGCTCCCTGCGGCTTTCGCAGGGCCCCGCCGCCCTCGCAGTTCGCGGTCCGCGGTCCGGCGCTCCCGCCTTGGGGCCCCGCCTTAGCCGCCTGCCGCCTCCTTCTCGGCTGTCCTCAGCCTTCCCCCCGGCCACTCTGCGCCGCGGGCCCAGTTTTCCTCTTCGACGGGCCTCCACTCCGCAGTTAATTCCCCGGGACCCTTCGCCACTGCTGGGTGCCTTCACGCCCTCCTCAGCCCTTTGGGTCCTGAGGTTTGTTTTCCTTCGTCCCCTACTCCTTGCCTTTCTTAACTTTGTGGCTTTTCTTTTCTCTTATTTTTTCCTTGTCATATTGTAGTTGTGAACAACCACAATTAGCAGTAACCGTTTGTTAGGTGCTTACTGTGTGCCACTAAGCCCTTTACTTAAAGTAGCTTCTGTCATTTAATACTCACAACCACGCTTTGGAGTAGTTGCCATTCTCATTTTGCAGGCCACAGATCCTGGAAATCTCCAGTTAAGTTACTTGCCCGTCTTACAGGTGAGGAAACTGAGCCACGTAGAGATCGCATAGGTGGAATTGTGGTTCCAGGAAGTGCCTTGAACCCCGGCAGTCAGGCTCCAGAGCCCTCCCTCAATCTTGATGGCTGTTGTACTCTTCTCACGCCCTTGCCCTAAAGGTCCCTGGAACTTCTATGTCTATGGAATTTTAATTAAAAATTTGGTAAAGTAAAAGTATTCCGGAAAAAATCCTTTGTCAGTGGTTTTTTGATGAAAAAGAGGCACTATATGTACATTTTATATATTTTGTTCTGGTTGAGAAAAACATCATTTCAGATGTTTGAATTCCCATTTTGAGCTGTGCCGTTGTCAGCATTTAAAAATGAAAAAGAACAGTGTAGGTTATGAGGATCCTCTAATATTTCGAGGGTATTAAAAAGATGAAATTGTATAAGGAAATGGGAATTGTTATCCAAGGTTTTAGAAGAAAATAATTTCTTTTAGGTTCTAAATTGTCACACAAAAAAATCCCAGTTTTGGAAGAAATAAAATCTTATTTCAGAGATGAACCTCAAGTCCTCTAAACCTCACATATACATGTTAGTAAGAAGTAATCAGAGTGCATTGTTAGGGTCCTTCAACATTAGTGATGGAAGGTTTATTCTGATTCTGATCTCAAGAGAAGGTCACTTAGCTACTCTCACATCAGTTTATTAGGGAATATTAGTTTGCATTTTAGAGACTGTCTTTCTTCAGCTCTGCAATGAATAGACTCTTTAGACTTTATTGATAATAAATGGCCATTGTTGCAAAACTGAATTGAGTAGGCTTTTAAATTTGGTGTTCTTTTGCAAATATAAGGAGCCCTGGTGATGCAGTGGTTAAGTGCTCGGCTTGGCTGCTAACCGAAAGGTCGGTGGTTCAGACCCACCAGCTGCTCCGTGGGAGAAAGATGTGGCACTCTGCTCCTGTAAAGATTGCAGTCTTGGAAACCCTATGGGGCAATTCTGCTCTGCCCTGTAGGGTCACTATGAGTCAGAATCAACTCAGTGGCAGCGGGTTTGGTTTGGATATTTTTGGCTTTGCAAATATAGTATATACCTTAACTTTTTGGATTGGAAATTGCTTCTAGAGCATATTGTACAGACCTTTATTTTAGCATTTGTCATGATTTATGAGAATTAGCTATTTACATTGCGTCTTTGATGGCAGAAATTGAGGCTTAGCTTTCATATTTGTATCCTGAGTGCTTTTCATGGTGTATCCATCCCAATACCTGGCAAATAAGGTGTTCCATAAGATATATGGTAAATAAATGAAGGTAGAAGATTTAGACATGGTTAACGGATTAACCCAGCATTTACTGAGGGTGTGCTACATGATAGTCACTGACCTAGGTGCTGACAGTATAGCCTTGAATCAGATCAAAAAAGTGCTTGTCCTCAAAGAGCTTCCTTTCTAATTAAGATTGATCTAAATTCTAAATTAAACCAACTACATCAAATGAAGTCAACCTGCAATTGTGAAGTGATTTATCCAAGGTCATTGGGTGGTTGGCAGGATCTGGACTAAAACCTAGCTCTCCTCAGACTTAGTGGTCTGACCTCAGTGGTGTTCCTTGCTGGAGGAATCGCAGAAAGAATGGCCCCTGGACTCTCTGTCAACCCAGAACTAAAACAATTCCCGAGGCCAACTCTTCAGACAAAGATTGGAGTGGACTATGGGACATAAAATGATACTTGTGAAGAGTGTGCTTCTTAGCTCAAGTAAATACGTGAGACTGAATGGGCATCTTCTATCTGGAGGTGAGATAAGAAGGCAGAGAGAGTTAGGAGCTGGTTGAATGGAGACGGGAAATCAGGTGGAAAGGAGGAGCGTACTGTCAGTATAGGGAGAGCAATTAGTGTCACATAATGTATGCATAAATTTTTGTATGAAAGACTAATTTGAATTGTAAACTTTCACTTAAACTACAACAATAAAAATAATAATAATAAAACCTAGGTTTCTTCACAGTCTACTACATAATTTGCCTACCATATATTCATAGATAGGACTAGAGGATCATATCTTTCCACGCCCCCCCACCCCCATTAAAGTATTTACAGCCTTCACAATGGGGGGATTGCATATCTGAATAGAGTACTTCCAGAGAAATGTATTACATTTCTATTTCCATGGTGTTCTTGTGAATTTTTTTTCTTTATATGTGTGTGTGTGTTTCTATTCATAGAAGTAGGATTTTGTTTTCCAAAAAGGTTGTAAGTGGTAGGAATGCAAACATCTACAGTGGGCAGAACTGAATAGGAGATCCAAATGCCATCCATGCCTTTATGATTGAGGGCCATTAATGTAACTTTTAGAGTCAGATTTGTATAGATCTTTTACCCAGGGCCTTTATCTGTGACTACTTTATGACTTATCACAAGGTACTTTCAGTCTAAATTAGCTCAGTGGTAAAAATAGGAATAAGAATACCCTGGTATTACTACTGATTTTCTTAAGCAAGTTGTTTTTCTGCACCATAGTTTCCTCTGTAAAAATGGTGTCAAACTTACTTCATTAAGTTGTTGGGAAGATTAAAAGAGTTACACAAATAAAGTCCATATAACTGTGCCTGGTACGGGTATAGTAAATACCTAGCATTGGCCATTATTATTAAAACACTATTTGAGCCCCTGCCATCCTGGGCACTCAGGTGCAGCAGTATACTAAGGGGAAACTATACATTAGTGGGTAGATACATGAGTAAACAAATAAGTGAGTTATTTTTTCATAGCAGTTACCATAATTGAAAATTCAAATTGAGTAATATGACAGAGAAGGGCTGAGAGGCCGCAGGTGGGGAAGGAGTTTGAGGTGACATTTAAGCTGAGGCTGAATAATGAGGAGCCATCCATGTGAAGATCTAGGGAAGAGCTAGGGAAGAGCATGCCAGGCAGAGGGAACAGCAAGTGCAAAGTCTTCATGGGAGTAATGAAGTATTTGAAGATCAAAAAGAAGGCTAGAGTCTGTGGAGAGGTCAACAAGGACCAGGTCATGTAGGGCCAATACTAATTACTATAGTAATAATAGCTAACACTAATATTAATACCATTTAAACACTTATTAATACTCTTACTCTGCTGATGTTAGGGCAGTAGTAATAATGTTGTTAGGTGCCATCAAATCAGTTCTAAGTCTTAGTGACCTTATGTATAACAGAATGAAATGTTGCCCAGTCCTGTACCATTCTCACAATCGTTGCTATGTTTGAGCCCATTATTGCAGCCACTGTATCAGTCCATCTCATTGAGGATCTTCCTCTTTTTCGCTGACCCTCTGCTTTACCAAGTATGGTGTGCTTAATGATAATAATAGCTAATACTTATATGTGCTAGGCACTATTCTGAGTACTGTAAATATTAACTCGTTTAATCTTCATTGTAGGTCTTGTAAGGTTGTTGTGACAATGCAGTGGCTATAAAGAGCTAGCTCATGGGGTACATGTAGCTGGCATCAGGAAGTGGCAACTTTAGGCTGTAGAGGAGGAGATGTGTGAGTTTTTGTCATCATCTTAGTGGCAGACTTTTAAAAGCCACCCAATCAAGTTAACAACAAAGTGTCTTTTACAGGTAAAGCACTGTGCTAGGTTTTGTTGGGAATGAAAGTAATAATAATTGAAATAGTTTACTATGTACCAGGTATTATCTTAAGGCTCTCATGGGGGTTGTCTCATTGAACAGAGATGAGTTAAGTTTATTTCTGTTCCCCACTTATTTACATCTGAGGTAACTATCCTGACATGACCCTTCCGTGATCCTAGAGCCCAGACTCTTAACTCCAAGCTATAGCCAACCCATTACCAAAACAAACCCACTGCCGTGGAGTCGACTCTCACTCATAGTGACCCTGTAGGACAGAGTAGAACCGCCCCATAAAGTTTCCAAGGCTGTAATCTTTATGGAATCAGACTGCCACATCTTTCTCCTGCAGAGTGGCTGGTGGATTTGAACCACTGACCTTTCAGTTAGCAGCTGAGCACTTAACCACTCAGGCACCAGGCTCCTAAAGCTATAGCTAGAAAGTATGAAATTCCGAAGAAATTCTGTAGATTTTTTTGGAACGGGAGAGACAGATTAAAAGGAAATCTAAGAGTAAGGCATATTGCTAACTCAAGACTGAAACAATCTTTCCTTGGTGGTTAACTTTTTTTCTGTCCCCAAAATTAAGACATTCTTTCAGTAACAGTGGCAGTTTATCTTTCAGAGGTGCATATAATTGAAAAAGACTCTCTGTTTGTTCTGATACAATCTGTATCCTTATTTGCAGGTTGATAATAGTGTATACCTCATAAGGTTACTATGATTAAATGACTTAATATTTGGAAAGAGTTTAAGAGGACTGCCTGCCACATAGTAAGCACTTTTAAGGGTTAATAATATTTTTAAAAAAGCACTAGTGGTAGGAGATAGGTTAAAAAAACAAACAATATCATCTGCTGTGATATTACTTAACTGCATAAGTGCTGTGGAGAAAATAAACTGGGATGTTTAGCTAGAAAATTAGGGGTGGAGTATAGTGGAGGGGAAGGCTTTCCCTTTAGAGAATTCTAGTAATCTCTTAAACTCTGCCCCTCTCCTCTTTTTAAAACTTTCTATTTGGAATAATTTCAGAAAGTTGCAAAAATGAAGATAGTACACTTATTGTTAACAGTTTACCTCTTTTGCTTTATCATTTGCATGCATGCTCTCTGTCATTCTGAACCATAGCCCTTTACCCTTAAATACTTGTATGTGTTTTCCAGTGTCATCAATTGATCCAATAAAGCTATTTATAGCATTTTTTCCTTCCAGTACAGGATCTAGTCTAGAGTTAGTTTTGTCATGTGTCTTTAGCTCCTTTAATCTGGAACATTTCCACAGTCTTTCTTTGTCTTTTAGGACATTGACTTTTCTGAAGAACTCAGGCCCCCCCCCCCCCTTTTTAATAGAACATTTCTTATTTTATATTTGTCTAATGTTTCTTATTACTAGATGCAAATTATATATTCTTGGCTGGAATACTGTGTAGGTGCTGTTGTGTCCCTCTCAAACACAGTGTCCATCTATCCTTACATGATACTAATTTTGATCACCTGGTCAAAGTGTTGCCTGATTTCTCCACTATATAGTTCGTGTTTTTTTTTAATCCTCCCTTGCAACAAATAAGCAGCGTGTGGGGCGGTATTTTAAGACATCCAAATATCCTTCTTATCAAAACTTCCTCATAGACTTAGCATCCATTGGTCATTCTTGCTGATCTAGTTTTTACCATGATGGCTGCAAAATGATGAATTTCCAACTCTGCTAGCTCTTAAGTGCTTTTAAAATTTGATGTAATTAGAGATCAGTAACTACAGTTTTGGAATTTTGAGAAACAAAAATTTATTCATTGCTTTACCACACAGGATGGCTCAACAGCAGGCTTTGAGGTTCCGAGGCCCGGCTCCCCCACCAAATGCAGTCATGCGCGGCCCACCACCTCTCATGCGACCTCCTCCACCTTTTGGTATGATGCGAGGTCCTCCTCCACCACCTCGGCCCCCCTTTGGACGTCCTCCTTTTGATCCTAATATGCCACCAATGCCTCCTCCAGGAGGGATTCCTCCACCTATGGGCCCTCCACACCTCCAGGTAAACAACGAAGAGGTTGTTATTTCTTTGTTGGCATCAGCATTAGTATTATATATGGATTCTGCATTAAAAACTTTTGTTCTTAAATAATTTTTATATATAGGAAAATGGGAGCTAAGGAAAACATCCACACATTAACATGTTGCTTCCAAAGCAGTGGTAAGCGTTAATTAAGATAGAAATTCAGAACAGGAATCTAGATGGTGGTAGAAAAGTATACGTATAAAACTAGGATTAAATAGGGTAATTTTTACCTGCCTTTATCCCTGAAGATTAGTAATCTGTCATCTTTACGGGAAATAAAGTTTGAAATCTTAAGTTACAGGGGGAGAAATTTATTTTCAGTGATACATGTTGCCAATAAATATAAATATGTATGCATATATATTCCTGAGTAAATATTTTCAGAAATAATGCCTAGGATAGATCCTGAAAGGTGACAACAAACACATTTTATAAGCACAATATATAGATTCTTTTTCTCTTCCCTGGGAAGGGGAAAAGTAGAAAATAGGATTATTTTACTACTTTAGAAAGGGATTTTTATGGAATTTCTTTAAATAGAAAACTTTCTTGGTATTTTAATGTGGAGCATTTCTCCCTCTGGTGCATCTAGACTCTAGACTCACTCTGAAATGAGGTCATAAAGGTATTGACTCTCAAGTGTTTACTTTTGGGATTATATATATTTTTTGAGTATGTATCTGTGCTTTCTTAGTTTAACCAGTTAATTCAATACTAACACCAAATAAATACAGTAGTATCATCTGCCTACCATTAGCTTAGATAATTAAGAATTAACTATATTAAAAATAGAGAAAGATAATGATGTGCTGTTTTAGTAGATAGGGTTGTGTTTATGGTAAAGACATAAGGTTTTAATACTTTGCTTAATAATTGTAATGCCTTCCTAGTAATGAATAGTCCCTCCCACTTTTTAAAACAAATTGCTAAGTGGTTTTATATTTTCTTCAAGATTAGAAGAAGAAATAGCTTTTTGACCTACTGACTCTGGAATAGCTTGGTTCATATGAATTTGTTCTAATCTATGCCATTAAGAGTTAAGCCTACTTTCAGAGCATTATAAAATGTAATGTAACCCTCTAATGGAAATATACCAAATGTTGTAACAGGATACTTTCTAATGTTGTGGTGCTTTTCTTGGTCTTGATGGATAATTGTGGTTTTACATTAAATCCAAGTGATTTCCAGCTAATGGTGCATGAGACATATTTGGGTTGGATATTTCATAGGGTCCCTATGAGTCGGAATCAACTTAACGATGAGTTATTTTATAGAACATGTGTTGGTGCTTGAAAGACATCAAACTGAATCCAAAAAAATTGGAGAAAGAAAACATTTTTAGAAAAAGGAGACATAGTTTCATGTTATTAGTATAGTGTCAGTTTCATTATCCAGAGTATAGTGCTTTAGATAGTTGGATTTTAATATTAATTGTAGATTATAGAGGAAATCTGTTTTAATCCTTGTTCAAAATCTGTTTTTAAAGTGTCAGACCACTTTTCTGCTTTAGTAAGTAAGATATAGTGATTGCAGTTGAATTATTTGGTGCAGGAATCATTGAAAAATGACAGTGAAGGAAGTATCAGAGATTGGAGAGAATTGGTATTGGCTCTTGGAAATTTTTTAAAAAAGTATATCTTGAGTTGAATTCTAATTTTCCACTAAAAGTAAAATCGGTAATTATTTCACTATGTCTTTTAAACTTACCCTTGATGTTCTTGTTTCTGATGAGCTGTATTGTTATATTAAAAATATCAATCAAACGCCAAACCCTTGCCGTCGAGTCAATTACAATTCATAGCGACCCTGTAGGACAGTGTAGAACTGCCTCATAGGGTTTCCAAGAAGTGGCTGGTGGATTCAAACTGCTGACCTTTTGGTTAGCAGCCGAGCTCTTAACCCCTGCACCACCAGGGCTTCAGTATTAAAAATAGGAGATGATCAGTATTTTCCTAGCCAATAGATTTTTTTCTTGTAGGAAAGTAGAATAAAAGGTTAAGTATATTTGATTTTTTTTTGGATATTGTGTTAGTTTGCAAAATAATGTTTCTCTTATTGTTGGTATGTGTTGTTGGTGAGCTCTGGAGTCATTGGTGTGCCTAGCTAGGGTTTATGCCCTTTTTCTTGGGCAAACGCTTTCGAAAAGGTTGTATTTGTTACTGTGTTTTGTAAGATGCTAAAGACCAAATTCTATTACACCAGACTTTTCATTGGACTAAAGTAGGCCTTAATTTTTTAGTTTAGTTGTTTAGTCCTCAGCAGGATATAAAAATAAATTTTTTTAAGAAGTAACATAGTACCCAGTGTATGAAAACTGCAGATAAAACACTCATAATTCCATAACCCATAAATGACTATTATTAATGTTTTGATACATTTATTTCTTTCCTCAGTTTGCTTAATGATCATTTTTGTTAGAAACGTTCATTTACACACGTTCATTTACACAACCTAGATGAAAGTATTTAAATAGGCTGTAATACTGGTTTTGCTTATAGTGCTTTACTTTTGGGTATAATTCCATAATAATTTGAAGGAAAGAACGTAAATACAAGTCACCATTATTGTTCTTGTGCATTAATAGAGACCACCTTTCATGCCTCCACCCATGGGAACGATGCCTCCTCCTCCGGGTATGATGTTTCCACCAGGAATGCCTCCAGTGACTGCTCCTGGTACTCCAGCACTGCCTCCTACTGAGGAAATATGGGTTGAAAATAAAACTCCAGATGGGAAGGTAAATTATAAAATATATTTAAGTTGTTATCTTCTTGATGACTTAGATATTTGGCAGATTGAGATATCAATTATAGTATCCTTGCCAATTAAGAATCAGCCTCAGGCAAGCAAGGGATGGGGTATAACTTCAGGAAAAGCTGACTGGATTTCTTTGGTGACATAAGGATGTCTGGAGTACTTAACATAAATTTACTTATGATTCTGGAAGCTTGTATTTTAAATATGTGTTGGGAGTCCCCAAGAGCACCCCCAGGTTTGGAGATTCACTAGGAAGACTCATAGTTTTACTCACTGCTGAGACTGATTACAGTGAAAGGGTACAAAGTGAGCAAAGGGAAAAGACGCATGGGTGAAGTCTGGAGGAAACCAGGTACAAACTTCCAGGAGTCATCTCCAAGTAGAGTCACACAGGATGTGCTCAGTTTCTCCAGTGTGGAGTTCCAGCATCATGTGTGAAGTGTTGTCTGTAAGGGAAGCTCACCTGAACCTAGGAGTTGAGAGTTTTCATTGGGGGCTAGTCATGTAAGCACCCTCTGCCAGAGCATGTACCAAAATTCCCGACTCCCAGGAGGAAAAGTGTTGAGCATAAACCACATTGTATAAGCAGTTTAGGTACTATGAGCCATTATCAGTTAGGGAATGGTGATAACCCTTTTGAAATCCAAGTTCGTAGATGCCAGCCAAGGACCAACTTTGCAAACAGACCTTTTCTAAGGATAGTCTCAGGTCTGCTGTGTTAACTCTTTTCTGTATGAAATATAACATTGGTTTCCCTTTTCTGTGTATGTGTGTGAATTCAAAATATGATATGTTGATTATGGAAAATTAGAGGAAGGGAAAGAGAAGGAAGAACTACTTACAGCTCATAATATATGAGCAGCTAATTTTGATGTATTTTTTTCTAAGTTTGTTTTTTAAATACTTTTTGTCTTAGTCATCTAGTACTACTATAACAAATACCACAAGTGGATGGCTTTTACAAAGAGAAATTTATTCTCTCACAGTCTTAGTAGGCTACAAGTCCATATTCAAGGCATCAGCTCCAGAAGAAGGCTTTCTGTCTCTGTCGGCCTTCTCATCAATCTTTCCTTGGTCTGGGAGCATCTCAGTGCAGGAACCTTAGGTCCAGAGGATGCACTTTGCTCCCAGTGCTGCTTTCTTGGTGGTATGAGGTTCCCATGTGTCTCTGCTCACTTCTCTCTTTTATATCTCAAAAGAGATTGGCTTAAGACACTGTCTAATCTTGTAGACTTCATCAATATAACTGCTGCTAATCCATCTTGTTACATCACGATAGCATTTACAACACATAGGGAAATCACATCAGATGATAAAAGAGTAGACAGTCATATAATACTGAGAATACTAGCCAAGTTGACAGATACTTTTGGGGGACACAATTCAATCCATGACACCTTTTAAGACAAAATATATTTGCATTATCATTTTTATTGATAGTGACAGATTCTATGAGACCAATAATTTGCTTCCTCTGCAGGTGTATTATTACAATGCTCGGACACGTGAATCTGCATGGACCAAGCCAGATGGAGTTAAAGTTATTCAGCAGTCAGAACTGACACCTATGCTTGCAGCCCAGGCGCAAGTTCAGGCCCAGGCGCAGGCCCAAGCACAGGCCCAGGCGCAGGCTCAGGCTCAGGCCCAGGCCCAGGCCCAGGCTCAGGCCCAGGCCCAGGCCCAGGCCCAGGCCCAGGCGCAGGCCCAGGCCCAGGCGCAGGCCCAGGCCCAGGCACAGGCACAGGCACAGGCACAGGCACAGGCACAAGTCCAGGCCCAAGTGCAAGCACAAGCAGTAGGAGCTTCTACCCCTACAACCAGTAGCCCAGCATCTGCAGTATCCACTTCAACATCATCATCCACCCCCTCCTCTTCCACTTCTACCACAACAACGGCCACTTCGGTTTCGCAGACAGTATCAAGTGAGTACCGGCCAGCATATGTTTTTACTTCAGGGCTAGAGAAATGTACAAGTAGGGACGGTATTACATTCTAAAATGATCCTTGTGTTTCTGGTATTCTTGATGTTTTTAAAATTTTTGTCATTAGGACTTTTGGATTAGAGAATAACAGTTTACATTAGTAGAGGAAAACATGTACCTGGTTGCAGTTCATGAAACTAAACTGAGAAAGTGCAGTTAGCTGTTCGAATTGGCCAGCAGTAATGCTAAGTGCTGCAGATTTTGCCAAACAAATGTAAGACTTGGACCCCATCTTAAAGAGCTTCCGGTTTTTCTCACTGAAGAGGCAAGAATAATACATGTGAAGCAATTAGAGGATAGTGTACAAAATTATATAGTGAAAATAAAAGGTTATAAGAATTCAAGAAAGGGAGAGATGTAGGTAGACTACATGGGTATTGAAGTTGATCATGAAGGATGTAGTGTAGGATTTGAGTAGTCCAGCAGGTGAGGAGAGGGCTTTCAGGTAGAGGGAATAGCATGAACAAAGGTCAGGAGATGAGAATAATGTAGTTTATGGGATTGTGTAGGAAATTCTTCTGAGGCGCAAGGGTTTATATTGGTTAGTGGCTTGGATAAGAGTGAGACCAGGTTATGAAAAGTCTTAAAAACAGGCAAATTGGTGAGACAGGCAGTGGGGGGCCTGTATAAATGCAATATTTTGGAAGATGTTTTTGATGCTGGCTTTGTGGGTAGTGTTGAAATCAGATACACTTAGTAGAAACTTTTCAGTGATCTTGCTTACAGATGGGTAGGGCCTAGAGTGGGATGCAGGCAGATGAAGTGGATGGGGAGTTGAGATAGGAGCAGTTAGAAAGGCAAGAGAGTTTTGCATTTTAAAGTCACAGATACTAAAAGGTTAGATTTTTTATAAAAATGTTTGAGAGTCAAATACCAGCAAATTTCATGGATGAAGAGAGAAGAATTTATCAATTTGCTTAAAAGATTGTAGTATCTACACTACTTCTTTAGTTCTGTTTTTTATTCCTTCTTTTGTATATGTGTGTTGCCACTTATTCGCAGGCTGAGAGTGAGCCCACATATATTTAAATGATTTTTTTTTGACTTGATTATTTGTTATGATATTGGTCTAAGGATTTATAGTTATCCCTACAAGGTAATTATTATTAAGTTTTTTTTACTACCTGGATAAAAGATAAGAAAAAACAAAAGGGTTTTTTTGGTTAAAAAATTTTTTGGTAGCTCAGGGAGCTTGGGAATTTTTATTAGTATATAAAAGTTTATTGTTGCCCTATGAGAAATACGTGAATGAGGGACATTTCCTTATACTTTATTCAAATCTGAATTCACTTTATTTATATAAGAAACTGAAGATGTAAGATACATATAATATGGAGAGGTTTTTTTTTTTTTTAAGCTACTTAATGTTTTTTAGACCACTTGGAATTGTACTAAATAGAAAAATGTAAATACAAGTCTGTTTTCTTTCATGGCTGAGGTGAAGTTTAATATGGAAGTGCAGCAATGATACAAGCTACTATTTGATGATCTCTGCCATTTTTTAGGCTTGTCCTTACAAAACCTGTATGGCAAGGCAGAAAGCTGCCAGTTTTCATGGAGTACCTGTGGCAGTGATGGGAGAAAGGGATTAATAAAAGCAATACTGGTGTACATGGAGGCTCTGTCTTGCTAGTATTTTATTCCCTTCTTAGGAAGGAGGTGTAGTAATACTGCATTTTGTTTTAAGAAAAGTGGGTAGCCAAATTCTTTGTAACTCTCCTATGCAGATTCCTTTTCTTTATCAGAATGGTCTATCAGTAGCTGCCAGCTATCCTGTGATTATCTACTGTATTTAGAAATCCTGCTCACCATTTTTTACACTGTCCCTCGGTGATTGGGAGTCCATTATTCTGAGAACAAAATAGAAAAAAAAAATGACTATTAAACATCAGTTTTGAAGTTGTCTTTCTATTTCTGACATCCCTTTTTATTTCACTTGATTCAGTATCATGAAGCGTTGCCATACTGCAGTTTTAATGTTTCTCCTCCGTTATATAATTACTTGTCTTTTTAGTTAAGACCTGAGACTGGATTAGAGTATATTTTGAGGCCTATTTCTTCACCAGTTATTTTGACAAATGGAGTTAGTAGGCATTTACCCACTAAAGTCCCAGATACCATTCTTACAGTTTCCTGTTAATTCTTTTATTGCGCTTTGCCTCATGACCAAATTCAGAAAATCCTGAGCCAACAAGAGGAATGGGTTGAGTGAATACTTCTTGCCATCTTTTTTTCCAGTTGAAATTTAACTTGTGTTATTTTCCTGAATATAGTACTTAGGGTCATAATTTTAGTAATTATATCTAAATACTATATATTTAAAAATGTAATTCTGGAACTACAGGGTAGATCTATGGGTAAATGGGTCTAAAAATTAAGAATATTTGTATTTTAATCCCACTGAGCATAAACTCATTTTATCTTGTGAAAGATTGTGAAAAATGATGATGCAGTCCTACTTCTCAGTGAAATTGTGAAGAATAATTAGCTGTATTTTCAGCCATTATATTAGATTATAAATGCTAAGTGGTGTATGTATGGGACTGGGCAAATGTTGCATGTAATTTGTATTTTTCACACTGTTATAAAATTATATTAATGTGATACTGTACCCTAAGGCTAGGTCTATGCTAGACCAACAAATCATTCCTGGGCCCCTGAAGATACTTGTTTGGCCCTGCTGTCTATTTAGCCAAGGTGAGTCCCTTATTAACAAGTATGAAATTGCTCACATCTTTCCAGCCTAAGTGAGTTTTTCATTATTAGCAGCTGGAAAAACGAAGTCCAGATACTGACATATTGTGTTGTCAGTTTGGATTAGTGGGTGGTTTGTATTAAACAGTGCACTTTCCCTTAGATTAAAATTCGTGTAAAGACTTGGGAAAGCATTGTTTTTATTTCACTTAATTTGATAAATTTATTCTTAGACCAACAGAGGTAGAGTTTGGCACTTTCTTTTTCTTACATCAAGAAAAAGAGGAAATATTTGTTACCAATGAGTTAACAAAATGAGTTTTGTTATGAACAAATAACAAAAATGTTTCATAGTAATATTTGAAAACTGAAACTTTAAAAAAGTATTAAATATGGTTTTTTTTTTTTGGTCGCAGTTTAATTTTAAATGTGATTGCTAGGGATGAAACATTTTATTTTTGACACTTAAAAATGTCTTAGGAGAGCCCAAATTATCCTGAATTTCACATTCTCCTGGTCTCACAGTGGAAACCTGAGGTGGTGTTTTTTTTTTTTTTTAAACTTTTTGTTTTGCAGTAATTGTAGAGAAGCCTGAATTATTTTTGGCTCCATTTGTTCACATCCAGTCAGTCATCAATCAGTCATTCATTCACATATCTTTTTCTTTCTGTTCTTCCTTGCTTGGACATTTCCAGTAGTGTGGTAATTGCTGTTCCTTTCTTTCCTGTGCATCTTGCAGGTTAATTCATCAGATAAACAGTAATTATTACTCTTTTATACACAAATATTTAGTCTGCTCCCCCTCTTTTTTTACATAAATGAAATCACACAAATAACTCACAAATGCATCCTTATAAAAATTAAACTCCAACGAAGCATATATAGTAAAAAGTGAAAGTCTTACCCAGTGGCAACTCTGTTAGTATATTTTGATGTGTTTTCTTCCAAATCATTTTCTTTGTATTTATATACATTTCCCGTTTTTCTACCCAGTAAAGTGCAGACTCATTAGCATTCTGTTCAAGGCCTTCTCTCTGCCTCTGGCCTCCCTTTCCAGGCATAACTCATTGGTTCTGTTGGTATACCCAATGTTTCACTAGTTGACAGCTTACCCTCTGTTTTCTAAACACTTGCTTGGTGTTCCCTTTGCCTTTACCTGTACTTTTTATACCACTTGCTTGTTTTCTTCTTCTACTTCCCCATTTTTCTCATTGAGATCCAAATCTTTCAAGGCCATTATCCCACTGTAAAATTCTCTGTGCCCCTTTACAGTTAGAAATGGTCTTTAGGTCTTGATTTACTCTTAATTTATTCCATTCAATTTGTATTTTCATTATTTTTTATATTTTTTATTTAACTATTTTCAAGCTTCTTGAAGTCAGAGATCTTTTTACAGATATCTTGCAGTGCATGGTATGGGCCCATAAATACTTATTGAATGAATAAATGAATGAATATAGTAACATGGTTTATGAAGGAATGATACATTTTTTTTATCTTTTATCAGCACCCACAACACAAGATCAGACCCCAAGTTCTGCTGTTTCAGTTGCCACGCCTACAGTTAGTGTTTCAACTCCTGCTCCTACAGCCACACCTGTGCAAACTGTTCCCCAGCCGCACCCCCAGACGTTACCTCCTGCTGTTCCTCATTCGGTACCTCAACCAGCAGCAGCAATACCTGCTTTTCCACCAGTAATGGTACCTCCGTTTCGTGTTCCCCTTCCTGGCATGCCAATTCCACTTCCAGGTAAACCAACAGATTATAATAGTCTTTTTAGCTATGTTTTCCATATTGTCAGTTAGTTTGTTCTCATGTGTCTGTTACATTTGAAATTTGCCTTGAATCTCACCTGTTTGAAACGTTTTTGAAAGATTCATGGCTAACTACAGTATTTTCTCTTAAGTTTTGGTAAATGTCCGTTTTTTGTTGTTGTTTACATGTCTTAAAACTAGAGTCACATTTAAAACTACACTTACTTTGGATAATGACCTCAATGAATTAAAAATGATCATATTTTCATGTAAATATGTTCTAAATGCAATATTTTTAAGGGATCGAGTCTATGGATTTGAAAGTCACAAGTCATAACAGCTAATACAGGTTGAGTGATTTATATACTGTATACTGTTTTAAACACTTTACATGTATTAACTTATTTAATTTTCACAATCATCTTATGAGGTAGGTACACAGGCAGGTTAAATTACTTGCCCATGTTGCATAGTTGTTAAGTGATGGTGCTGAGATTTGACCCTAGTCACTCCAGATCCAGGTACCTTGCTCTTGATAACTGTGTTATATGGGGAAGAAACTGTGAGTCACTGAATTATAAAAAAATTCATATAAAACAGGAACCAGCAGTTTCCTTTGTAATGATTGTGAAGTAAAGTTTAACATGCACCAGTTATAAGTTTAAATACGTGATTATGGTGAATTCATTTGTTTTATTGTCTTAGGGGAAATGGTCAAGACTAAAGAAGGAACTAAAAGATTGTAGAGTAGAATTCTTCCCATAGGGATTAGACATTTATAGCGTTGGGCATCCTAATTTGAATGCATTTGCTGTTGTTAAGCATATTTAAAATGAATGAATTTTATTTCTGTAAGGGATCCTTGATCCTTGGTCTATTCTCCTCGTGTATAGATGAAACTATTAATACCGTAGATCAAGATCACAGAGCTAGTTTGTAGTGAAGATGAATAGAACGTAGGTTTGTCTCCCAGTTTCACATTCTGTCACTATTTATTGTTATTTTATTATACTAGTTTCTTTTTAAGAACAGGGTTATAATATAGCATCACTGTTGCCCTAGTTACCTTTTTCCTTGTGACCATTTTGAAAGGATACTTTTTCAGGTGTTACCCATGGCAAGAAAAAAACAAAACCCCAAAAATTTCAAAAATTTTTTGGTAAAAAAGCCTTTTTTTCATTGTTGATATAATGTTAGATAATTTACAATTCCAATATGTGATGTTTGAGAAACTAAAATCATTTAAAAGTATGAAAAAACCAAAAATGTTTTCTCTGAAACTAGGGGCTATCCCTTTAAGACAAGCAGCTGGATACTTCTCCTTTGCATATACTTTTTGGAGAAAATTGGTAAATGGAGAATAGATTAATGTTCATCATAACCTCTTCTTGCTCCAAACCAAACCCAAAACCCGTTGCTGTCAAGTGTATTCTGACTCATAATGACACTGTAGGACAGAGTAGAACTGCTGCATAGGGTTTCCACGGAGCAGCTGATGCTGACCTTTTGGTTAGCAGCCGAGCTCTTAACTATTGTGCCACTGGGCTCTGCTTTAGGGTCAAGGATAGTGTTAAGACTAGATCCTGAATTCTGAGTGATATAGAGGAGTTGAGGTTGTTAATTCTGTAGGGAAGACTGAGAAGGTAGCATGATAACTTTGTTCAAGTATATGAAAGGGTATTGTCTGAAATGACTTGTTTTGTTTTAGAGGTTCAACAGTGAATGAATGGTACAGAGTAGCAGAATTCACTTCTGTAGCAAGTGGAACTTTGTCACAGTAAAATTCTCCCAGCTATACCTGCACTTCGATGTCATGGTCTCCCTGATCCTCACCCCCATCATTAAAAATTTTAGAGCAGGTGGTAATGACTAATTGGATCACCAAATGTAGTGGTACCTGTGAGGTGTTTGGCAGTAAAGGCATTCTATGAATGGCAGTCACTAACGACATTTTGTGGGTCACTTGGAAGAGAATTTAGATAATCTGTAAGATTTTACCCAAGATACCAAGATTTTTTGGAGAAGAAACTAGTGGGAACGGAAGCATCTTTGGTATTGATATTTGTTTCTATATTAAGGAATTTTTGATATTAATATTCATTTTTCTCATTTTCCCTTTTAATTCAGTCCTCCAAGATGCATTAGTGAAAAAGAAAGAAAAAGAAGAGTTGTTTTTCTCCTCCTCAAGCCTTCATTAGGTTTCATGTACATTGTGATCCATTTCTCTCTGTTTTGCCTTCTTTATTTCAACTTGGCAGCAAGATGAACAGGATGGATTTGAATGTAATTTATCTGGGAGCCTTAACTTCTATTTGAAATAGCATTGTTTGGCTCCAATGAGGATGATTAAGCAAGAGGTAGTCAAGGTGAAAGAAAGGAATGGAAGAATTAGGTAAATACAGAAGTAAGAGGTGGATATTGGAGATAGTAAATTGGTTTAGGATTATAGGATTTCTGCTTCTAAAACTATAAAATCTTGATGGGAATTTTAGGAAGCTTACTGTCATAGCATTAGAATTATCTAAGAGACTTAGTGTAATTTTCTAATTGCTTAATAGAACATACTTTGAGGACAGAGTTGTAGGAAAATTGAACAAATGATCCCTTAAAAAAAGATGAAAAATGTAGTTGTGTGGTTATTTTGTGAGTCTTCATGATAATGCATGTAATCACTGAGAGAGAAAAGTGTGAGTTTATCTTTTTAGCAGGAGAAGAAACATGTATGACCTTTCAGAATGGTCTAATGTTGATAGTCAAATCTAGAAGAGTTCTGTGTCGGCCCAGTTGATTTTAACAGTGGCAGTTAAGTCCACATTAATAGATTTTATTTTCTTCTCTTTAATTTGTATGTTTAAAATTATTTATTGGAGGATGATTTTGGAGAACAGTCTTTGAGAATAGAGTTCATGTGTTTTAAGAATTGAATTTCTAGTGCTGGCATAGTTAAGTTCAGTGATCCTGCAGATGGCAGTATTTATACTAAGTTAATACATGCTATAACTTCTTAGCCTAATGGATTTTTCCATTACTTTCTTTAAGCATTAGGGATAATAAAAGTATACATATAACTTTATTCAGCACGCTTGTATGATCCAGTGCGTTTGTTCTAGTTTCAGAATTAATAGTTTAGCTTTAATATTCTTTGTTTAAAATAGTAATTCAGAAATAAAAAACTCTTCAAAAATCGGCAGTATTTTTTTCGTGTGTGAGTGAACATAATTGTAATTACATTGTTTATAAATCCGGATGTTTGATTTTAATTTTAGTCTCTGAATTAGGAAGTTTTTCATTTCTGGTCCTTTATTGGGGAAGATAATTATTATTGTTACTATTTTTTAATTTTTCTGGGTACCAAACTAAGTTTAGTTTTTTCAGTGAAAAAGTAAAAATTATTTCTCCTACCCTTTCTTCACGTTCAGCCCTTTCTTGAAAATTTTTTTAATTCACCTTCAATTTTGAATTTCCTCAATCAGTCTTAGTTTTCCAACTTTTTCTTTCATTCCCTTTTTTAAAATCATCATTGCAATGCATCATGATGAGTCTTCGTTCTTCTAAGAACTGTACGTAATTTCCATTCTTTAATACAACTGCTACTCCTTTAGCTAGATAAAGGTTTCTGCAGCCATCAGCCCCAATAGTTATTAAGTGATTTAAAGGGACTGCATTTTTCTTAATGTTTTAGCCGTCTCCACAGGGTACCGACCTCATGGGATTCCACAGAACAGGCAAAAACATGGACACTTTGTCATTAGTTCCATAGCTACCCTCCTTTTCATCTCTGCCCTTCTTTTATTTAAACTATTATTTGCAATGGAGTATTTGGATACATCTCTTATCTTATATTCTTCCTTTCCCTTCCACTGCTCTTTGTCCTTTTTCCTTATCTACTCTGCATGGTTGTGGTCGGTGCTTCAGCTCCTGTGTGTAGTTCCAACTTAGCAGCAGCATAAAGAAAGATGAGTGTTTTGTCAGTGTCATGCTGCATCTGCCTTTCACTGGTATCTAAGCAACGGCAGCATGGGTTGGATGTCCTGTGGGAAAATGCCCTACATGAGAACTTGTCAGGTACATGTAATGAAGGGGCTTTCCTTTATTGAATTTAATCTCCTGAGACTCCTTCAAATGTTGTCATAGCTGGTTTGATAAAAAGGTAATTGATGCTGTAATTTAGAATTAGTATCATTGGATTTGGCACCACTTCCCACAAAATGTCAACAAAAAGAAATTTTACTCCATTCTTGGTCTTTTTCATTGGAAGTAGCATTCTAAATTGTAGTGGTAAATTATTTCCCTGAATCCCAGTGGTAGCTGACATACAATGGCAGCTTTCCAACATATGCTTGCTTATCCATTTTACAGGTGTAGCAATGATGCAAATAGTCAGCTGCCCGTATGTAAAGACAGTCGCTACCACCAAGACCGGTAATTTTTAAAACCATCTTAGTTTGTTTTGTCTGTAAGTTGGCATGGTAGTGAATGTTGTTGTTTATCCTTTTATTTATTTATTTTGCCCAAGTGAGTGGATTTTTTTATATTTTTCTTTTTAACGAGCAGTATAAATGCAGTTGTCATATTTGGCCAACACTTAATTTTCCCAATTGCCTGTAGTATTAGCTTCTTTGGTTCACAAAAGCAAATAAGGTCAGATCACTTTATATCTTAATTTATGTAATAAGTGTAAACAACTTCATTCTCATATTCATAACATTTAATTTTATTTTTTGATGTGTGTTTTTAAGTTAAATATAAAAAAATCATTTCCATGTGTAAAGTGACATGATTATGCTTGCATGCTAGTGAGTATATGTGTGTGAATATTTTTGTGTATAGTACGAATTTATATTTTATAGTTGTTGAAGTAAGGCAACTACCAGAAACTTAAATTCTAGTATACAATTTGAGTTTTTTTCCTCCAATTTTGATTCATATATCTTTATATTATAGTACTAGCTTGTAAAAAAGTTCAAAAAAAACAAAACAAAAAACTTGGCTTGTCTTTTAAAAAATAGAAGGAGCTTTGCTTCCTTTAAGAAAAAGAATAAACTAACTTACTTAAAGAGTTTATACGGATATCTGACTTAATCATTTAGTATATTAAAGAGATTTGATAAACTCATTTACTTTTAAAGTGAGAGTTTTATTCATATCTTTTTTAGGTGTCTTAACTAGAAAGTAATTTTGCCTCAGGAAATAAACTTGTTGCCTTAATTTCATAAGAATTTGAAAAATTATATTTATAAAAATAAATTTTATTCATAAGGAGAAAATATGCCATAATTTTTATGATTATTGTATTAAGACTTTGCGATCAGTGAGACCCAAGTTTCTGACAGTTCTTAAGGTACTTGGGTTGAATTTCTGAGGCTAATCGAATTTAGGCATTAGAACCAAAAAAACAGAAATAAAACTAATATTTAAACCTTTTTATATGATTTTTTTTTGTTCCAACTGGCTCATTCATTTATGAATGTAATATTTAATAGAAAGATTTAAGCCCATATTTTAAGGTTTTGTTTTGAATTTCAATTTGATACTTGAATCTAATTTTTCATTATTCTTCTTTTAGGTGTCTTGCCAGGAATGGCCCCTCCTATCGTACCCATGATACATCCCCAGGTTGCTATTGCAGCTTCACCTGCTACCTTAGCTGGAGCAACAGCAGTTTCTGAGTGGACTGAATATAAAACAGCAGATGGGAAGACATATTATTATAACAATAGAACATTAGAATCAACCTGGGAAAAACCCCAAGAACTAAAGGAAAAAGGTATAGTTGTTTTAATGACTTAAGAAGGAATGTGAACTATGATATTATAAATAGAATATTATTTGAAATTCTGAGTTAATTCTTTTTTAACGCTTTTGAGGGGTTTTCTAATAATTACATAGTTCTTGGGTTGTTGCCACTGAGTTGATAGTATGTATTTGTTTAGAAAGTCAGTTCTTCTGCTTACATACAAACCAACAAAAAACTCATTGCCAAATGAGTCAATTCTCACTCATAGCGACTCTATAGGACAGAGTAGAACTGCCCCCATAGGGTTTCCAAGGCTGTAAATCTTTATGGAAGCAGACTGCCACATCTTTCTCCCATGAAGCAACTGCTGGTGGATTTGAACCTCTGACCTTTTTGGTTAGCAGCTGAGTGCTTAACTACTGCATCACCAAGGCTGCTTCTACTTACATGTTTATCATTATTGTGTTTATTTGAAGCCATTAAAAAAATGTATTTTTTTAACTGTTGTCAGAAATTATATAATTATTGTTACCCTTACTGAGACTGATACTACTGATCAGGAAGGAATATGTTCATTTTATGTGTTCTGAAGAAAATATTTAGGCCCTTGGAGTCCTATATGAAGAAGACTCATAATTTTCTATATCACAAGTCCCTGATCTTGCTCCTAAGAATCTTAATGTCTTATCCCTTTCAGTAAAATGAATGATTGCTACAAACGACATATAAATGATCTGGAAGACTTTATGTCCCTTTGAAGTCCAACTAGGTTTTCTCTAAAGATAATTTCTCAGTTGGTGAAGCAAGGTATTTGAAGTTGAGCATTACATTAGTTTCAAATCACTATTACAGGGAAGGATATTTTATTTTTATGGTCAGTAGAAATTGGAGTATCTTTTAAGTGCTTAGTCTCTGAAAATTCTTGGAAAATTATATTAAAATCAGTGAGTTACATTATCTTAATTTTTTAATAGAAAAATTAGAAGAGAAGATTAAAGAGCCAATTAAAGAACCCTCTGAAGAACCGCTCCCAATGGAGACGGAGGAGGAGGATCCTAAAGAAGAGCCTATAAAGGAGATAAAGGAGGTAAAGGGCCTTGACCTGTTAACCAGGGTGCCAGCATTAATTATTTGGTACAGTTTATTTGTAACTGAAAATATATTTGATATATTTTTGAACAATTGTCATAAATTTGACTCCTGAAATTTTAGGATTCCTTGAAGTTTCTAATTCAATTTTTCCTTTGAAAATTTAATTAAGTTGCTTCTTATACTAAACTGAGGTCCATAGAAACAAAAGGCCTTGGACCAGAGCCTGGACCTGATCTCCAGTCTCCTGACTTCTAGACTGGTACATGTTAAAATTATAAATGCAACTTCATATTTGGGGAATATTGGTTATGTATTGTCTGTCCTCTCCTACTGTTGTGTCCTGGCATGGAATGATCCCTGTATACCCCTAAAAGAGCTCTGATTTTTGGAAGCTTTCTTTATGAAGGGACTGGTGGTTGCCATGCTTCGTTGGTAGGAAAGTTAGCAGAAATAAGAAACAACCTGAAATGAAGAGGACACCTCTAATTTTCTATACTAAAGTTCTCAGTTCTCCTAAGCAGATGGCCAGTGAGTCTATGAGATAGGGCCAGCTGCTGCTGCTGGGTTCTGCTGTTGTAGAATTAGGCTTTGTTGTTAGGTGTCATCGAGTTGTTTTGGACTCACAGAACTGTAGAACTGCCACAAAGGGTTTTCTTGGCTGTAGTCTTTAGCAAAGCAGTTCGCCAGGTCTTTCTCCTGCAAAGCTGCTTAGTGGGTTGGAACTGCCAACCTTTTGTTTGGCAGCCGAACACTTAACTGTTTGTGCCGTCAGGATTCCTTAGGCTCTGTCTAGCAGCAAGTTTCTAGGGAACTTCCTTAGAAATTCCTACTCTAAGACTCGATCCTCTCCTCCCTGTTCTAGCAGCAGACCTTGTGTCGGTAGCACTTTAAGGGATTTATAGTGATGTTCTGTCTGTGGAATATTCAGTTAAAGTTTTATGATATAAATTAAATGGAAATAATATCATTTCTTCATAGGAGCCCAAAGAAGAGGAGATGACCGAAGAAGAAAAGGCTGCCCAGAAGGCAAAGCCAGTAGCTACTACACCTATTCCTGGTACTCCTTGGTAGGTACCTTCATCAGTAAACTGGAGCCTTTTTTTTTTTTTTTTTCCATTGAATTGAACTGGATTGTTACATGGCTTATTCTGTAGAAGGAAAAGTATTTTCAAAACGTATATATCAAATTTATGTTTTTATAATATACTTTTTATTACTAAGTATTACGGCTGTTGTTTGTTGTATTAGGGTGTTCAAACCTAAAACTCAATTGCTGCATTGTCTTCCCTCCTTCACGGTGCTCTCAATTAGTGTTTGTCATTCCTAATTATAGACCTGAACTGTTGTGAGATCCTTAATTTACTTTTATTCTTTAACGTTTAATATATTTGTTGTTACATATATGTGTGCATGTATAGATACACACACACGTGATTACATTTATAGAACTGTGTAAAATTATTCAGGTCTTTTTATCTAAATACTGAAAAGTCTACTTGTTTTTCTTTTGCTTGGTTTTCCCATTCCTTCCTCTCCCCATATCAATCAGTGCCTCCTCTCCTGCTCCAGCTTATTTAATTCATAGTCCAAATACATTGCAGTGAGTTTGCTTGCCTTTTAAGTCTCATAAAGTATAGGTTCCCTTCCAACTACTTTTGTCTCCTTATTTTTTTTTTTAATTGTACTTCAGGTGAAGGTTTACAGAACAAATAGTTTCTCATTAAAGAGTAGTACACATATTGTTTTATGACATCGGTTAACAACCCCACGACATGTCAACCCTCTCCCTTCTTGACCTTTTTTTTTTTGGTAAAAATACACATAGCCAAAGATATACCATTTCAAAAATTTCTAGATCCACAGTTCAGTGACACCGACTGTGCTCTTCAGTTGTGCTGCTGTTCTCACTTTAGGTGAAGGTTTACAGAACAAAATAGTTTCTCATTAAACAGTTAGTACACATGTTGCCCTATGACAATGGTTAACAACCTCACTACACATCAACACTGTCCTTACTCAACCTTGGGTTCCCTATCACCAGCTTTCCTGTCCCCTTCTGCCTTCTAGCCCTTGTCCCTGGACTGCTGTGCCTCATTAGTCCTGTTTTGTTTTATGGGGCTGTCCAATCCCCAGCTGAACGGTGAACCCGGAAGTGACTTCACCACTGAGCTAAAAGGGTGTCTGGGGGCCGTACTCTCGGGGTTTCTCCAGTCTCCTTTAGGCCAGTAAAGCTGGTCTTTTTTTTGTGTGTTAGAATTTTGTTCTACATCCTTCTCCAGCTCTGTCCAGAACCTTCTGTTGAGATCGCGGTCAGAGCAGTCAGTGGTGGTAGCCGGGCACCATCTAGCTGTACTGAACTCAGTCTGGTGGAGGCCTTGGTAGCTGTGGTCCATTAGTCCTTTGGACTAATCTTTTCCTTGTATCCTGTTTTCTTCATTCTCCCTTGCTCCCGAAGGGATGAGACCACTGGAGTATCTTAGATGGCTGCTCACAGGCTTTTAAGACCCCAGATGCTACTCACCAAAGTAGAATGTAGAACATTGCCTTTATAAACTGTGTTATGCCAGTTGAGCTAGATGTTCCCCAAGACCATGGTCCCCACAGCCTTCGGCCCAGCTGTTTAGTCTCTCAGGGAGTTTGGATGTGTCTAGGGAGCTTTCATGACCTTTCCTTGTACAAGTTGTGCTGATTTCCCCAGTATTGTGTACTCTCACCCTTCACCAAAGATACCACTTATCTATTGCCTATTTAGTATTTCCCCCCCCACCCCTCCCATCCCTGGTAGCCAACAAAGATTGTTACTTTTTATGTGTAAGCTTTTTCATGGGTTTTTACAATAGAGGTCTCATACAATATTTGTCTTTTTTGATTGACTTACTTCACTCAGCATAATGTCCTCCAGTTTCATCCATGCTATGAGATGCTTCACAGATTCATCATTGTTCTTTCTCGTTGCATAGTACTCCATTGTGTGTATGTACCATAGTTTATCCATTTATCTGTTGATGGGCATCTAGGTTGTTTCCATCGTTTGGCTATTGTGCACAATGCTGCCATGAACATAGGTGTGCATGTGTCTATTCAAGTGACGACTCTTATTTCTCTAGGATATATTCCTAGGAGTGGGATTGCTGGATCGTATGGTATGTCTATTTCTAGCTTTGTGAGGAAGCGCCATATCATTTTCCAAAATGGTTGTATCATTTTGCATTCCCACAAGCAGTGCGTAAGAGTTCTGATCTCCCCGCAGCCCCTCCAGCATTTGTTATTTCCAGTTTTTTTGATTCATGCCAGTAATGCCAGGGTGAGATGGTATCTCACTGTGGTTTTAATTTGCATTTCTCTAATGGCTAGTGATCATGAGCATTTCCTCATGTGTCTGTTGGCTGCTTGAACGTCTTGTTTGGTAAAGTGTCTGTTCATTTCCTTTGCCCAATTTTTAACAGGTTTATTTGTCTTTTTGTTGTAGAGGTGTTGGATTTTCTTGTAGATTTTAGAGATTAGACCTTTGTCTGACTTGTACTATCCAAAAATTTTTTCCCAGTCTGTAGGTTCTCTTTTGACTCTTTCGGTGAAATCTTTTGAAGAGCATAGGTGTTCGATTTTTAGAAGATCCCAGTTATCTAGCTTAGCTTCTGGGGTTTGTATCCTGTTAATGCCGTGTATTAGGGCTTGTAGCATTGGTCCTATTTTTTCTTCTATGAACTTCATAGTTTTTGGCTTTATATTTAGGTCTTTGATCCATTCTGAATTAGTTTTTGTGTATGGCGTGAGGTATGGGTCCTGTTCCATTGTTTTGCAGATGGATATCCAGTTTCACCAGCACCATTAGTTAAAAAGACTGTCTTTTCCCCATTTGATGGACTTTGGGTCCTTGTCAAAGATAAGTGACCATAGGTGGATGGATTTACATCTGGGTTCTCAATTCGGTTCCATTGGTCAACGTATCTGTTGTACCAGTACCAGGCTGTTTCGACTACCATAGCTGTATAGTAGGTTCTGAGGTCAGGTAGTGTGAGTCCTCCAACTTTATTCTTCTTCTTCAGTAGTGGTTTACTTACTCGGGGCTTCTTCCCTTTCCATATAAAGTTAATGATTAGTTTTTCCATCTCTTTGAACAATTTTGCTGGTATTTGGATTGGGATGGCATTGTATTTGTAGATTGCTTTGGGTAGAATTGTCATTTTCACAATTTTGAGTCTACCTATCCATGAGCATGGTATGTTCTTCCATTTATGTAGATCCCCTTGGGTTTCTTGCAGTAGTGTTTTGTAGTTTTCCTTGTATAGGTGTTTCCTTGTTTTTTTTTTTTTAACTGAGGAAATACGTTTTGTCTTATAGCATCCCACAATCTCAGTTTTATTATTGCGTCCCTTCAATGCTGTTTAATAGGGTCATCCATTGAAATTAGTAAACTAGTAAGTAGATCTAGAGGTGTGATCAGATTCAGGTTTGATCTTTTTGGCAAGATCAGTTTGTAATCTGATGGTGTACATGTTCCTCATGATGCATCTAGTTGTCTGTCTCGTTTTTGTGATGATAGCCACCATTGATGATTAATATTGCCTACATCAGTAGTTTCCAATCCGTGGCAATTTTGTCCCCCCAGTGAACAGCTTAAGCTTTTGTTTTTCAGTTCTTTTTATGTTTAGGGTATATCCTGCTATGGATGTACAGTCAAATTATTGTGTTTTAAAGTCATTTGAGTCATTTTCTATGTAGTTATGCCACCAACATGATACACAGATTCATTTTAATAATTATGAATTATGGAAGGTATTTATCTAATTTCAAAGTCAAAGAATATATTTGTGGTTTTGAGTATTGTAGATGAGAAACTGCTACCTGCCCCTCTCTGTTTTTCCCCCTCCAGTTGAGCTTGATGGGCCTTATTAATTTTCAGACTCAAGTCTGGTCTCAGATTAGCAAAATTTTCTTTTAGAATTATTGCTTCTCTTCATCTGTTTCTTTTTACCTTTCTGGATTATCTGTAATGCATGTTAGGTCTCTTGGATCTATTAACCTCTGTGCCTGTATTATTATTATTTTTTGATGAGTTATATATATAGTTTTTATGCTCTGCTTTTAGTTATTTATTCATTGATCTTCTGAATCACTGATTCAGGTCTGGTAGTGACCATTGTCTTTAATTCTTCTACTCAGAATATCTTAGTTTAAAGAATCATGTTTTTAAGTTTTACAGGTATTTCCACTGCACTTGAATCTCTTTAAAGGTTTCTATTATTTGGCTATGTTTTGTCTGTCTCCTTTAGCATTTTTCTTAAGTTTGGTATATGTTTCAGTTATTCTATCTGATTGTTCTTTCTCTGTCTTCTGGATTCCTTTACCTTAGATGGGCCATTGTTTTTCTCTTTTGGTTCACTGGGGCTCAGTTCTAGTTGTATGGGCCTAGGTTATAAAAGCAGGCTGCATTTCCATGCCAGGGCACCTGTATGAAGCTTCTCTGTACCCATAAAGCTGCATTTAGTGTTTTATAGGTGAGGGACACTTGATACTCCCGTATAGAGTCAGTGTTTCCTTCCCCCAAAGCATCCACATATCTTTGAATGCCAAGTTCTTCTCAGAATCTGCTGGTCATTGGTTGCTTGCCTGGTCTGAGAGAAGGCCTGCACCAGTTCTCTTTGCTGAGACCCAAGTAGAGCCCAAGATTTCAGTTATTTCCAGGTCTTAGCAGTTCTTTGGCTCAGGAGAGGCAAGTAGTTTGAGATTGGGAGTAGGGGAAAGGAGCTGTGTTCAGGTTGTTTTCTTCTCAGAGTTTATTATATATATATACATATATGTATATGTGTATGTATGTGTATGTGTATACATATCTATGTATGTGTATATGTGTATATAGTATTATAAAACTATACATGAATGCATAAAAAATACAATATGAAAGAATAAAAAATTGTAGAAGTTTTGTCCGTCATTTCTCTGATAGCCTCTCACTCCACATTTACCGCTAGAGGGCTTACCTCCACAGGGAATTTCTGACATTTTGAGAGCTGTATTGGCAACTTGGCTATTTTGAAGGTAACATGATTTAGTAGAGTAGCATCTC